TATTCACATAAATAATTAATGCAATAATAGGTTTTGACAAATAATTAATAAATGTACCTGTTTGCCATAATTACTACTACCACTATACTACATCATAATTCTTCCACGTCCTAATTACTATTAATATTTTAATCCATATCCACCACAACAATTAATTATCCAAAACATCAAGAAGATCTTACAGCAAAGAAAAAACATCATATTTTAATGCACAAAATCAATTTTTCGATAATATAAAATCTAGCAACAAAAAGGATAAAAATAAATAAATAAATAAATCATCATCAAACAAAATAATTTCTTAATTTTGATTCCAGTATTGACTACGATTTCCAGCACCTTGATGATGTGCTTGATGAGGGTGGTATTGATGGTTTTGTGGATATTGATAACTATTAAACACTTGTTGAGCTTGTTGTTGACTATAATAATTGGGAGTGCTAGATTGTTGTTGATGCTGTATTGCACCAGATTTGCCAACCCCCGAAGATTGTTGTTGGCCTGATGCAGAAGCTTTATCCTGATAAGATTTGTATTGGCCTTGAGGATTCAAGTCTGAATTATTGTTACCAGTCTTTGATGATGTAGTGGTATTTGATCCACCTGATGCAGAGGAAGGTTGTGGATTGCTATTAACACCTCCTGCATTACCCAAGAAATTAATTGGTGGCATACCACTGCCTCCTCCATAAGTTTTCTGATAATCATGAACATTAGGTACTGCACCAGGAAGATGATGTATTGGAGGAGACACTTCATCATATCCAGTGTTTGAGTAATGAGGTGTGCTGGGAGTAGTAGGGGTCGTGGGGTAACCATAAGGTGATGCACCTGATGCCGATCCAGGTTTGCTAGTGTGTGGGTTGTACATTGGATACATTGATTTATTTACATTTACAAATGGTTGGCCATAACCAGATTGCTGATAGGCAGAAGGAAATTGGTTTGTCATATAGTAGTATGGATGATAATATGGTACACTAACAGGATATGTTTGTTGTTGTTGTGGATTTTGATTTTGTTGATTAGTGGATTGTTGTGTTCCTGTTGTTTGTTGACTGGCAGATTGTGTGGATGATGAATTGCTAGATGTTTCTTGTGAATACTTGTCTCTTCCTTGAAATCCACCTACTGAAGATGTAACAGGTGAGGCTTGTGGATATGAAGGGTCTGCATAATATCCCTATTAATAATATTGTTGTTAGCATTAAAGTTAAAGGTTTATTTATTAATTTATCAATTACCATATGTATAAATATATATATTAATTAATTGATCAGTAAATTTACCATTACTCCTCGCTGAGCTTCAGCAGGATATAATGTAGCATAATCAGGTTGAATAGGTCCAATACCAAATTGTGACAATTGATTTGGTGGTTGGTTTATGTAAGAAGTATAGGGAGCACTTATTGGCTCTATTCCTCCCAAATGATGTTGATTTAAATATGCAGTAGCAGCAGATTGTTCTTGTTGTTGTTTCAAGTATGAAGCATTGTAATTTTGTGATGTTTGATTTGAAGCATTTGTTGGCACACTTGATGGTGCACTGCTGTTGATGGATGATGGTTGTTGTTGTTGTATGGATGAGGTGGATGAGGTAGATGAGCTGGATGTAGGTAGGCGATTAATAGAAGTTGGCTGAGATAATGAATTAGAAGATTGTGTTTGTACTTGTGTAGTTTGTTGCTGCTGTTGATTGGAGGTTTGTTGTTGTAATTGTATTTGAACTGCTTGTAATTGTTGTTGATGTGTTTGTTGTTGATGTGTTTGTTGTTGCTGATGTAATTGCTGTTGCTGTTGTTGTTGCTGTTGCTGTTGCTGATGTAACTGTTGTTGCTGTTGCAACTGCTGTTGTTGTGTAACTTGTTGTTGAGCTGGTAAAGTAATCTGATGGTGGTTAAGCGGTTGTTGGGATTGCTGTTGTGGTGGTGGAGATTGTGATTGTTGAGTTTCAACAACTGTAGAAGAATTAGAAAGTTCATCTTGATGGACAAGAGACGAAAGATCATTTTCGACCATTTCTACCTGTTCCTCTGAAGTTTCCGATAAACTTAAACTACCAAATTGAACACCAACTCTTTCTACACCAGTTCCATTAGTAGGCATTACAACAGGGGCATCTTGTTTGAGTCGACGTGCAGTAGTAGTTGTTTTTGATTTTAGACCATGTGGTATGATTTCCTTTGCACGTGGTGAAACAGAAGTTGCTATTGGTGATGATGAGGATGATGAGGATGATGATATTATGGGTGTATTAGTGGAATTGGCGATGTTTTCTTGTTCAGATGAAGGAATGGAAGTGGTTGTGGTATTAGAAACAATATTATTATTAATAGTAGTAGCATTTGCAGCAGATAAGGAAGGTGAAGGTGTTGTTTGTTGTTGTAGTGAATTAGATGTAGGTGTAGGTGATGATGGCTGCGATGATGGTGTATTTGTAGCAGAAGTTGATAAGATGTTTGATATTCCAGTAGCATTTGATGGTGGGGTCAAAACTTCCTTATTTAACAATGGTGATGATGCTGGAGGTGATTTTTTTTTAGTTTCTTCAATTTCAGAGATCGCGATTTCTGGGGTAGAAGTCGTTGAAATGGTTTCTTGTTGGAAATCATTATTAATACTTATGTTGTTGTTATCATTTATAATGACTTGTTCAACAACTTTTGATGGAGACTGTGTCGGTATTGGTGGAGTTGTTTTCAATATATTCGGTGATAAAGGTTTTGTTGCTTCAAGTGAGCTCTTGGTATTAGTGTTGTTATGATGTTGCTGTATAGGGGTAGTAGATGTTGTTTCGGGTTTATGTTCCGGCCTATATACACATAAAATCATCATATATAATTGTTTGGGAGTTTTTTTTTGATTCCCAATTATGAAAATAAATAAATATATTTGGGGTATAACAAAGAAATTTGCACAATAATGAGAATAATGAGAATAACGAAAAAAAAAAAAAATTATTTGATTTGTTACTATATGATTTATTTAAAAAAATTTTTTGATTATAAAAAAAATTTTTTTTAATGAAAATATGATTGAAAACACACTTCACAATTTGAGCCCAAGAAGTTTTGGACTGAGGAGGTATTGTCCGTGATTTAGGCGGTACTGGTGATTTATTAGAAGAACTAGGAGTAGGTGTAGATGATGAATATGAATAAGGTTTCGATGTAGTAGAATTTTTGTATGATTTTGAAAAATCCCTAGAATTTTTATTATTGTTGCAATTATCAGATACCCGTAACTCATTGGAGTTATGATGAGTATCTGAAGATGACGATGCCCAACCATCTTTATTAAGATTAGAGTCATCCTTGGAGAAATCATTAGAGGAAGTAGCAGTTGTTGTAGTAGATATGTTGATATCTTCATCTCCCCAACTACCTTCAGTTTTTGATTCTATTGTTGATGACAAATTAGTAGCAGTATTCTGTGATGATGAAGATACTACTTCGTTTTTTGTAGATTTAGTAATGAAGGTTGGTTCGGTATCGCCCCAACTTTTTGTCTCATTAGAATTCCAATCATTATTAGTAAGGAATTCGTCATTGTTGTTAGCATCCGAAGACCAATTATTTCCTCCACCAGACGAATCATTGTTGCCCCAAGAATTAGAATCGTTGGTGGTAGATGATTTGAATTGGTTACCGTTGCTTGTTTCATTGTGATGAAAAGAAGAACTGGGTCCATTTGGATGTTGACGTGAAGTTCGACCATGTCCTTTTATTGTTATTATTTAATCATTATTATTAATTGATTATTTAATTATTAATTTTGACTTTAATTTTGTTTGACAATAAAACATACCTGAACCATTTTCTTTTTTTATAGCTCGACTACTACTACTATTAGTTCGATCATCTCTTCTTCCACCACGACCACGAGATCTTCCGTTACCTCCAACAATATTACGTTGTTGTTGCTGATGATGTTGTTGTGGTTCATTATTATGACCAACATTACCACTATTACCGGTAACATTAGTAACAACACCACTACCAGCATTACCACGTTGAGAAACACCAGGTTGTCCGGTAGATTTGGTTTTATTACTATGATCTTTTTTAGATTTACGAGATTTAACTTCACCCCATTGACTTGTATGACCTTTTATTTATATTTTAAAAAGAGATAAAATTAATTAATCATTTATTTATTTATTTTAAAGCCTTCTTTAAAAAAATTTTTTATAGTTATAATCTCATTAATTTAATATTTAATAAAATTATAAATTTGAAAATCTTAAATTTAATATGCAGATGATAGTAATGGTAATTAAAAATTTAAAAGAAAAAAAAACAAACCATCACTGATTCGACTAACTGTGAGTTCGATGTCACCTTCAGCTTCGTTTAAAGTGAACAGCAAATCTGCTTCTGTCCAATCTTCAAACATTTCTTGTAATGTCGCTAATTTGTCTTTATAGAGAGATCTCAACTTTTTAACTTCTTCAGTATCTGCTATATCTGCTACACTTACTGTTTTTTTATTTTTCTTACTAACACCTCCTGTTGTTGACGGATGATTATTATTATTATTAGTTCGTTGTGTGTCGTGCTCGTATGAACCCATGATTATAATTTGTATTTATTTATATATATAAAAATGTGCGTGTTGTATTATAAGTTATATATATATGTATGTATTATATATATATATATATGTTTGTATCCGATAGAGGGTAAAAATTTTTTATTTGTGTGTGTAAGTTGAGGCTCTATATTTGTTTGTTTGTTTGTTAGGTTTTTTGTTGGTTAAATACTTAGTTAGCTAACAATAATTCACTAGTAAAAAAAATTTAAAAAAGAAAACAGATTTATTTATCAAAATTTTTTTTATAAAAAATTTTTTATTTAGTATTTTTTGTTTCCTTTTAAAACTTTTTTTTAGAGAGATATGATATTAATATTAATATGGGGCATACTGTAACAAAACTGGATGGTGAACAATTTTATCACAAATTTCAGGGATCAAAATTTAGTAAATTATCATAATTGTACTACCAATATAATGTGACATCGTACCCAGTGTTATCGGTGTAACATTATTATCCAATCAAATTTTGAATTTCTAGATGTAATTTCTAAATTTGTACTATATAGTTATGAAATTTTATCATGATTTTTAAATATTTATAATAAATCAAAATAAACAAAACATTACTTACCTTTTGTTGTTATTTAATCCTTTCCTTGTATATACATAAATAATACTTTTGTATCCACCATTGTATATGTCCATTACAATGTTCATAATGATTATACAATACACTTGGTACTATTGTTCTTAAATTTGCAAAGAGTTAATAAATAAATAAATCTGATAAATTGCATCACCAAAGTAATAATAATACTAGCTAGGACCATGTAGGAAAATGGTAGTGGCTGAGCCTCTACTTTGTTCCCCTTTTTTTGTGTGCATTTATGCTTCCCAATTGTATACAAGTTGTAGAGTTCCTTGATTTTAATAAATATCTTATTATTATTATTATTATGTCAGATATACTAAGTTTCCTCCCTCAAAACATGCAATACATATCCTTCATAACCATGGAATTTTTTTCACAGATGAAAGAGTTTGCCAAGTTGGAAGTATACATGCAGCCCAAATTGGTTTGGTGATTTCAATGGTCAACATTATTCCAATTTTGATGGTAGAAAGTAGAAATTAATTACAGCACTCACTATTAAAAACATAAGTGTAACACCCCTTTACAACACATGTAACCCCCTTTATGACAGTGCAAAATTAAGGCTCTGAACAGATCAGTTCTTATTAAATTATAATCTGTTTTAAATCAGATCAGATCAGGTCAGATCAAAGCTAGACCAGATCAGATAAAAATTATTGATTCATAATTTCTTTCATAAATTTTATTATTATTATATATACATAATATTTCAGATCAGATCTCAGATTCCAGATCAGATCAGATTTCAGATCAGCTTAAACAGATTTCAGCTCAGATTATACATGAAGTTGAAACTATTTCAACCATTTGCAGATCTAGTTAAAAATAGGGTCAAAATTAGGTCAAAACTGATGTAGTTGCCTCAAGTTGAAACATTTCAACTTTGGGGTTTTAATTTCGACTTCATGTATAGCTTAGGTCAGATCAGATCAAGTCCAATATTTTTAAAAAACCAGATCAGATCTGTTGGGAGGGAGCCTTAGTCAAAATACTTTGAGCTGCATGTATAATTGGAAGGCTTTAGACAAGTAAGATGCTTTAGCCAGTGTTGGAATTTAGCCATTAACCAGCCAACTAAAGATGGGAACTACAATTAGCCACAATTCAATTTTTTTTTTTTCTTGGATTAGATCACATAGTAAATTTAACATATATGACGTGCTACACACGTCTCTCGCTCGTTTCACTCGCTCTCCTGATAACAATTACGATATATGTGTCATAAAAAATTTTTTTTTTCTTGGATTAGAATACATAGTAAATTTAACATATATGACGTGCTATGCACGTCTCTCGCTCGTTTCACTTGCTCTTCTGTTAACAATTATGATATATATGTTGTAAAAAGTTAATGATATCAAAAATAGTATGGATAGGTTCTGGAACATCTTGTTAACATAAACTGGTTAAAAAGGTGGTATAAAAAACGTAAAAATCCTAGTTTTGTCCCAGAAACAGCAATTTTATACAACATCTGGTTGTTCATCAGGAACATTAGTGTAAATATGCACAACCTTATTGTTAACATCAAGTTTAGGATCAACCACTATCATATCAAGATCACAAATTCTGATTGCACCTTCCATTTCTTGATTTATTAAATTTATTGCTTCTGTGCTTGCTTTTTGCAAAACAACTTGTGGAATACCTCCCCACATTCCAAACAATTTTTTGGCTTTTTTATAATCAACTTTGTGATATAAAACTTTGGAAGTAATATTTAGACTCCCTGCTGAATCATCATAAATATTTTTGGAGATACATGCAGATATTTCATCCCAAGTCCATACTGGGATAAAACGTTTTTTTGTTCCAGCCTACTTCTGAAAGTTTTGATAGTTCTCTTTTTATGAAGTTGCAAGAATAGTTTTAGCTTCACAGTTCCTTGGATGGTGTCCATCAACAAAATACCAAACATCTGATTTATTTAATTCATTATGAAACAGATTCATATATGTTTCCTTGATGAAAGAAAATTGGACTCTGATTGACTTGATCACACACTACACTCATCCCCTTTTTTATCAATTGAATAAGCAGGTAGTAAACAAAAAATGTCTTTCCAATTCCTGGAGTTCCTGTAATGCAAAATTTTTCCAATTTATCACTGTCAAAAATTATCATGGAGAGATCAATATAACATTGACGAACAAAAATATTTGATCCTTGTTCCATTTTACCCAACAAGTAAACACCTTCTGTTAGAGAAATTATTTTTTTGTAAATTTCAACATTCTGAATATCCTTCCAGAATTTAAAAAGTGGAGTATCTTCATCCAAAAGCATTCTTTTAAAAGGATATTCATCAGAAGAAGAAATAAAATGCTTGGATCCTTTAAGAAAATTTTAATGCATTGAATTCCACAATAATAAAAAAATAAATAAACAAAATGGAATAAATGGAAAATAATTTTTTGTATATTTTTTTACGCAATTTGTTCATTACCTTTTTCTTTGACTAATTCCGTTTCTAAGAATATTACATGATTCCTCCAATCCTTCTTCTCCTCCTTCAACCTCTTCTCTTCTTCCTCCAATCTCGCCAGCTGCTTCTTGTCATCTTCATCAAGTTCTTTTCTCTTTCGCCTCAACTTCTTCAACAATACTCCATCATCCTCCCCTTCTTCGAATTCCTTCAACTTCACATCTGCTTTCCTGTATTCTTCAAGTGCAGTGTCTTTATCTTTTTTAATTTCGTTGAATGTAGTAGTCATTTTAATTTGCAAAAAAAGATTTAAAAAAATTAATTTTTTTATTGATTTAAATCACAATTAATTCGTGATCCATCAATGAAGGAAAGGATCAACATAGTATGGTGCGAATCATCTAAAGACATCACGCGCTGCGCCACTTGCCGAAAATTTTTATGCTGAACTTGCTTTATAAAGAATCCAATATACAGTCAACCCCCTCTAAGTACACCCCCCTTGGGAATGAGTGATAGCGTGCACTTAGAGGGGGTGTGCACTTAGAGAAACAAAGCATTTCATTGGTTG